TCCTCCTCCTCCTCCCTCTCCTCCTCCCTCACCCCTGGGTGGGGGCGCGGCCTGGACCTGAACGACCCCCGTCTTGGGACCCTGTTAGGGGCGTCCCTGCGCCGTCTGCCAGGCCTGTTGGGCCGTCTCGGGCCGTTCTGGGGGGCCTCTCGGCCGAGACGAGGTGTGGGAGGAGGAGGAGGAGAAGGAGGAGGAGGAGGAGGAGGAGGAGGAGGAGGAGGAAGGACCCCGCAGCTGCAGAGGTGCAACGGGTTGAACGGCGCGGTTCGACGCATTGAATCGCCTGGCGGGGCTGGGTTCTGGGCTGTCTGCAGCTCAGCGGTTCGATTTCGAATGGTTTCGCAGAGGGGGTGGGATAGCGCAGGCATGGCAGACTTCGGTGCGAAGTGGCCGGAGACGTTTGCCGCGTGGCTGCAGAACGCTATCGAGGAGTATTTGGCAGGGGGCGCGAGGGCCTGCAGTGTGTCTGTGCACAGCGAGACGCGGCGCCGTCTGTCTGGCCCCCTGGCACTTGCGCCTCCTGCAGCCTGACGCTCTGGTATCACAACAAGAATAGAGGCCCTGGGATGCCGTACGCGTGCTAGTACCCGAAAAAGTCTGCCCGCGAGCACTTCGAGGACCTCGTGACGCCGTCTCCAGAATCCGTCCGCCATATCATTGCGACAGAAGCGGAGAAAGAGAGGCGCGCGTTGGCTGAGGCTAAAGGTGACTTTCGCTTCTCTAACGAGCGGGATGTCCTTCCCCTCCCCCGCGCGCAGCAAAATATGCTCGAAATGGAGGCCGTGGAGGTGGATGGGCACGGGCATGGCGGCGCCCACTACCCTCTGTCTGACGTTCCAAATGCGCATGGCCAGCCAGCGTTCGTCCGAAGCGAAGCAAGAGAGGGCGAGAAGAAACACCGAGAAGCGCACCCAGAGAACGCACGCAGCTGACCGCGGCGCTGCAGCAGCGGCGCCCGCGGCGGCAGCGGTGCCCGAGCAGCGCGGACAAGGGCGCTAGGCGCCAGAGCAGCGCCGCCGAGCGTCGCGCCCCCCAGGGCGGCCAGACAACAGCGAGCGAGGCGAGCGGCCTGCGGCCGGCGATGGAAGGTCGCGGCAGCGGGGCGGGCAATCAATTAAGAGGGGAGGGCGGAGGGGGGAGGGCGGAGAGATTCGGAGGGAGGATATATATATATATAGAGAGAGAGAAAGAGAGAGAGAGAGAGAGAGAGAGAGACAGAGAGAGAGAGAGAGAGAGAGAGAGAGAGAGAGAGAGAGAAAAAAAAAAAAACAAAATAAAATATGACGACGAAAAACAAGAATCGCAAGACGATGGGGCGGCATGAAGAAACTGGCGGCGGGAAGGAGGCCAGGGTGGGATGAGGAATGAATGCAGAAACCGCTAGCGGCCCCGAGGTGGGCCAGCCTTCGCAGCAGCGGCGGCCACAGCAGCAGCAGCAGCAGCAGCAGCAGCAGCAGCAGCAAGGGTGCAGGGGCAACTCGCGGAGCTGGGCGGACCACTCATGGAACTGGCGGGGCGGAAGGTGGGGCGAGGAGCCCGAGTGGCCGCAGCCGCGGGGCGCCCCTGCCACAGCACCCCCTTGCCGAAGCACCGCGCCCAGCGCTGCCTCCCCAGGGTTGCGCAGCCGCAGCAGCTGACTAAAACGGCGAGATTCCCACTGCCCCTGCTCAGGTGCTTCCGCCGCCGCGGGAGCTTCGGGAGGCTCTTCGGTGGCACTTCGAGGAGAACATCAACGGGGGGGGGGATGGCGCGGGGGGCCGCGCGTAGCTGGGCCGACGAGCCAGAGGACAAAGACCATCTTGGGCGAGAACTTCATTGAGCCGCGGCGCAGGGGCCGCCCCACCGCAGCAGAAGGGGGCGGCCTCACGGGCCGAACAACGCCCCTCCGCAGCAGCGGGGGCCGCGCTGCATAAACGAGAGCGGCGGCGGGTCGCGCGCGCCATCCTGCTCGGCGATCGTTGCCCGAGCGCGGCAAGAGAAAGAAACGCCTCTCCTGATTTGTTTTCTTCTCGCTGATTCTCCCCATCCCCGTCGCGCCATCGCATTTTTCTTCTGTCCTGTCGTCGTCAGTCGTAGCGCATAACAGAGAGCGCGCAGAACGAGCCCATCTGTGACAGAGGGGCTCTTCTGTTGAGCCCCACTGTCGCAGGAGGGGGGTCAGAAAGAAACTTAAGGTCACCGAGTTAGGGATGTTGGATCAGAGAGCAGACGCTCGAGGAGACCAGCGACCGGGCCCGGCGGGCCGCCCGCGACATCGGGCGGCGGCAGAAGCGCGTGGATGTCTGGAGCGCCGTGCGCGCCCAGCCTGAGGAGGGGGCCAATCTTAGACGCCCGCCCGGAGCACCACGGCCGCTGGCGCCGGCGCGGCATCGCGCGCAGCGCACTTGGCGGGGCCTCCGCTGCGCGCATGCACGCCGAGGCCGCGGCGGCGGCTGCGGCCGGAGCGCAGCCGGAGCGTCGTCGCCGCGACGGGCGCCGCGATGGAGGAGCCAGGCGAGGA